ACAAGTCATGCTGGATGTCAGAAAATTAAAGAAAAAAAAAACAATCTAAGTTGCATGTTTTCAAAATTATAGGCATTAAAGAAAAACGAAATATTTCACAACCCGTAACAGTTTTTTCACTTCTGTTGCCACAAATATTTACTTTTTCCAACTTTTTTGTTGTTGTGAAACTCTGAATAATGCTTCTCTAAACTGTTTTCAAAATTTAAAAACACAGGATGTGAATTTTTTTTAAATGCCTATAATTTTCAAAATATGCAACTTAGATTCTTTTTTAATTTTTCTGACAACCAGAATGACTTGCCTTTTCACCCGGTTCCGAGTCGACGTTGGGTTTTGGAATAACCTGTATATTATATTTGTGTCTTAGTGCTAAAAGGGTCAAAGTACGTTTTTATTAAACAGTACAGTACTGTACAGTAGCACATATTTTATTTTATTCAACAGTATCGAAGTACAAATTACATTGCCCTTTTTACATAGTATCTTTTGAAAGACTATCAATAGACGTACGCCCTTTTACAAATAAATTTTCAATAATAATAATAATTATAATTATAATGTCCTCCAGACCGAATTTCCGCCACGGCGGCCTGCCTCAACGGAGGCTAGCCATCGGCGCAGGACAGGATTATAGTGCCCAAGTGTATGCGCAAGCACAGGTGCACTCTCTATTCCCTCACTCTCATAATCCGATGGGACGGTAAACCGACACGACCGGAGAGAGATTAGGCGCAGGACCAACGGTTTAACGTGCTTTCCGAGGCACGGGGGTGAGACACCGCCAACTTCCTGACTCCGGGCAGTTACTGAAAATTTCTTGACAGAAAAACTCAATAATTGATTTTTTGGCCCGACCCGGGATTCGAACCTAGGACCTCATGATCAGCTGTCGCACTACTACAATCACTAGACCAACGAGGTAATCAACAAGAAAATAAATTTTCAATAATATGGCTATTACTCGTAAATATCATTTCTTGAAAAGCATACATTGGCCCTTTTAGCACCAGGTCACAGACACATATATATTTAAATTTGGCAGTACTAAAAAGGACATAAAATACGTATTTCAATATATAAACTGGTTATAAAATAATTAAAAAAATCTCTTTCTGAAGCACCACGTCAAGTCTTTGTCCCAATTCGGTTTTGTATTGAAACATCTGCATGTTTTGGGTTATGATTGTAGATGACGTGGCATTTATTTTTATTTGGTTCGATGACTGCTCGTAAACTGGCGCTTATGCGAAAACTATGGCCTTTTTTTAACATGGGGAAATACCTACGCATACCTGCCTCGCGGGGGCAAGGACGGCTTATGTCGGACTCGCACCGACTAAAACCCCATGGCGTTCCACCTTCGTCACATATTGGCAGGACCACGGGAACGTTTTCGCACACATTCGCGGCCCCACCAGCGCCGGCCGCCATATGGCGGCACCTCCTCGGGCGAGGAATACTCCTCCCCGTTCTCCTTCCCAGGTAAGGCGCACCAGAACACATGGTGCACCTTCCTCCACGGCCTCCAACTAAACCTGCGCAACAGACGCCCCCGTGTCCGATGCGCGAAGGCTATGGGGCCAGGAAAAACGATTACACAGAAGCACTAGCCTTGCCGACCCCAGCGGCGGATCTGGTCTATGGCTCCGCCGTCAACTAAGATTCGGCTACGGATGGTAGGGAGAGTGGCGCCTTGCAATACCGACACTCCTCTCCCCCCGCAGCCCCACCACCATCGCATCAACGGTGCGGCTCCGTTTGAGTCGCGGAGGATAGGGCGAGTGACGCATCGCCATACCAACACTCCTCTTCCTCAGCGACTCCACCTCGGGTGCAGCGGTAGGGGTAGAGAACACCCCTCTCGCCGCAGCCCACCAGCACACATCCGAAGTGGGCTCGCCAAGCCCACTCGGAGTGGCCTCCTTGGACCGGCCCTTCACCTCGGCCCAGCCATGTGGGCTCCTCTTTGTTCACCGCAGGTGACCAAGCTACGACTACTAAGCTCCCCGTCACGACAAGGCGGAAACCTGTTATGGTATCCTATCAGGCTCGCCTCTTTGTTGCATTGAACAAGAAACATGGATGTTTAATCGATGTTGACGAATTAACAAAATATCGGATTGATTCGACGAATCGATACTTTAAGTGTAGATGTAGTAAAAACATCTATGTATATCGTCCATCAGTATCGCGTTAACTTCATTTTATTTCATTTGGCGCGCGAGTGCAAGACGCCATCAAAAGAAAGTTTGCTATTAGTTTTTCTATTAAAACGTAAGTAACTACACTGTTTTAAAAGTTTTTTGCTTATATTTCGTCTCGTACCAATTTTTATTAAATTAGCATTTCAAATAGTACTGTATCGTTCACATATGAAGTAAATTTTCATATTTTACAAAGTCCAATGTGTGAAATTCATGTTTTATGTTATAGTTTAGATATATCATGAATATTACGGTGACAAAGTTTTTAACAAAAATGGCGTTAGTAAAAGTAGCATAATAAAGTATATACCTAAGAATGAATTTTATTTTATTTATTAGAGGCTGACTGATCGGCTAGTTTAGGTGAAATTCTTATATGTATTTCAAAAATATAACATTAGAATGGTATTTATAACATAGGCACGTAGCTTAGGTAAGGAAAGTAATAAAAAATCGACTACTAAAATAAAACCTAATACTAAATCTAAAATGCGTATATAAAGTCACGTTATAAGTCGTTCTAATGTTCCAAGTAGATATCCAACTATGCAATGTTACGATGATTTTTTACTGCGACTTTGTGGAACGTGGCAATTATGTAAAAATAACACTTTTCCCCAAGTATAGTCGCCTCTTACGACACCCACGGGATGATATGGAAATTCATACACCGCCACAACACGGTAATTCATAATTTCTCAAAACATTTTATTTATCGAGAACATCTTGCAATCGTCGATTTTCTAGCGCTCACGTGACAATGGCTTCTTTTGGCAGAAAAAAGCGCTTGTAAGCAAAATGGCGAAACTATACAGTTTTCGACCAGGACACGTTTGCTAACTTCAGTAGCGCTGACACAATCCGCCATTTTGCTTATTTATTTTGCTTGTTTTGAAGTAGAGTTTATAAGTTGTTTTGTGGAATTAGTTTCAAGTAATATAATGACATGAATACATATATTATATATGTTATAAAAAAATCATGATTGTTAAGTTTTTATTATGAATACTTTACAAACATATATTTAAATTAGGTTAGGTGCCCCGGTTAAAGCTAACATCGTGTCCTAGAGGAAAATAGCTATTTACCATTTGACAGCGCTTACCGCTTACGATCGCCATTTTGCTTACAAGCGCTTGTAAGCGCTTTTTTCTGCCAAACGCAACCAATAATTCCGTAGACAGAGAAACCTATAGACTATTGATCGGCGCGGCCTCGAGTGAGAAAGGATGATAACGAATTTTTAGGTTATACAATAATCTTTATGACTTTTAAACACATTTAGATAAAAATTTTAATTGTTATAAGAACTGAACTGAACAAGATTAACCAATCTTAAGGTCACAAAACACTTTTTTCTCACTTAAACCAACTTGTAAACTCCTTAAATCGCTACGCTGTTAAAGTTGTTTAGCAAACTCTACAGTTTGCTAAACAAAAAAACCGGCACGGAGAAAGGGACAAACAATCACACCGCTCTACCTCATTTCTATGCCAGACGTATGCATAAATCTATCTTTTTCGTGTGCGAATGCGAAAGAAGGCGTCAATTTGTCTATAGGTTTCTTTGTCTACGAATAATTCGATATTTTAATTGTTGATAATTTTTTTTCGATAAGAACATAGTAAAATATTTCAGCAAAATGAAAAACTTATATTTACCTGCATTAAAAAAATTGTCATTGGCCTGACCACTTTTCGGCTTGACCATTCGTCTAAGTTCGGCCAATAAAATGTCGCCGTTTGAGCGGTTAAACTAATGGATGTCTTCCTAAAACCTATGGTTTATTGAGCTTATAATTATCGCCTACTTAATATTTACAAATATATATTCAAATTAATAACTTAGGTTAGTTATCCATCTTGGCGCATCACTATTCAACCGCTTTAATTATATATATCGTATCTATAGTACGTCTGGAGACGCCTTGCATAATGGGCAATGAGCTATATGCGCGCTCTATACGTTGCTTAAAGTTCTGAGGGTTCACTTCTAAATATTACTATACTCTTTGGTGACATCTACTTGACATTTTGAAATCCGATCAGTTTCTCCCATGGAGGTTAGAGAGAAGGAGAACGATCGCTACGTGCTAAAGCAACAGCCCGCTGTCCCCGAAAAATTGTAGAATTTATAGCCGCGCTGCCGTCGGTAAGTGGTATCTGCGAAGTTAGCTGTTTATGAGTACAAGTAGATGAAGTTAGTTTTATAATGTACAAATGGTAAGAAAATAATCGTGCTCCGTAATTTTTTTAATTTTTGACAAAAAGAAACTTTAAAACGTGGTGAAATATTATAAAATAATAATAATAATAATAATAAATCAATAATAATTAATAATTTATATTTGTAATAATTTATAATATTTATAATTAAAATTATAAAAAACATAATTTATAATTTATTTATTACTAAATAATAATAACAATAAATAATAATAATTTCGTTATTTTCTTTGTTTTTGAATGATATTATATACACGTATAATAAACGTTGATAGATCGTTCAAACTAGCGCACAACAGCCCGCTTTTATTGAGACAACTTAGCGATCGCAGCGCCTCACTTATTTTGTCCATATTTCTGGGAAACTTTTCTACAGCGATCGTTCTTCTCTCTAACCTCCATGGTTTCTCCGAAACTTGACAGATGGCTGAAAATTGACTTTCACATCCTTGGATTGAGTGATTTTTTTTTATAAAAGAGGGCAAGGGATTAAGGAAGATAGAGCCTTGTGAAGTTTTTATAAAAGACTGAAATGAAAATTAAGCGAGGTATGTGGGTATGTGGCAGAGTGGTGTGGGGCGGCGGCTGGTGTTCCAGGAGAAGCGCGCGGAGGGCACGCGGGCGAGCGCGCGGCAGCTGGAGCTGCTGGGCGCTCTCCTCGAGCTGCGCGTGCCGGGCGCGGCCGCCGTGCGACGCGTGCTGGCGGCGCGCGTGCCCATCCTCAAGTGCGCGCACGTGCTGGCCGCCGCCAGCTGCGACTTATGCTGCACCAACACGTAATCTTTTTTTTCTTTTCTTTTGGACTCGTACGGTTGCACTTTTGCCAAGGTCAGGTATAAAAGGAAATCTAGAATAATTTGTTTAAAAACTTCATTATTTTAAGAAGTTCGATACTATAATGTCTCATGGCGCTTAAGCAGACACATTAACTTGAGTTTCCCATCAACATCCATCAACGCAAGCACAATAACATCAGCGCTTGTTTCGTCATTTCCACTAATAGTTCACATGCGCAAACACAATACACAAAAGTGCATCGCTTTTATGTATAAAATCCACTTCCAACCATTATATACAGGTTGTCCCAGAAAACCTGTACCAGCCAAGGTCTTGGTCTGAGGGCACCAACACCTATCTATCGATTGGACTCCTATGTATATTCTGCGATTTTTTATTGTTTTAGAGATATGTATTTTTAATTTTTTTTTTTAATTTTACAGGGTATTTTAACTATAACTATTTCTGTGAAGTAATTCATAGAGATTTTTTTTTGTTAGTATTATGGCTTGTATTTGTGTTCGTCTGTAAAAATACTAAACACCAAAATTCTAATTCTAGCTCAGATTTAGCTAACAAATTTAAAGTTTCTGTTTGAGATCTTTTTAATTTGATTTCAACTTGAAAAACATTACTTAACCATGATTGAATAACTTCCTGATAATTTCAAAGACTATGGGTTCCTTAGCTCTCAAAATAACACAAAAAAGTTAGTAAGACATTTTTGTGCGAAAACGGAGTTCAGTCAGTCGAAAATAGTGAAATTTTATTTCATGCGTTTGAAATGGCTTCCCATTTTTCCAATTAATATGGTGAATAATGAAAATTATTTTTCACATTGTGCTAAATAAAACAACAGAAATAATTTTAGGAAATCATTTATTTTTTAATGTTTTCACAATAAATGTTCAAAGTGCCTACCTACCACGTCCCTCAATACACAAACGGCACCGACGCAAATAATTACAGTGCTAATCTGGGAAGGCTTGGGTAAAAAAAAGTAAAGTAATGTTACATCCTATATACGTCCCACTGCTGGGCACAGGCCTCCTGTCATTTCTGAGGGGGTTTTAGGGCAAGGAAGTGTCCGCCGCGCTGCCCCAGTGCGTGTTGGCGAACTTCTCATGTCTTCGAAATATTTTTTTCTTATTTCTCAGACATGCAGGTTTCCTCACGATGTTTTCCTTCACCGTCGAGCACGTGGTAAATCAGCACTTAAAATTGCAATTAACAATTTCATTGGTGCCGGCGGGGATCGAACCCGGTTTAGCCCGGGAAGGCTTTGGTGTTTTGTCTTATTATTTCTTGAGCTTCATTTAATTTAGTTTTTAAATCTTCCAAAGTCGAGAATTCGCGATGGCACACTAATTCCTTATAGCATTCCCAGATAAAAAATCTCTGAGGTTCACAATTTAATTAGATAATTTATAAATCTAGTAATCACGCATACATTTTCAGGTCTGGAGTGTACATGTCAGAACTTCTCTGGATGTTTGGTTCTTTGGATCCACGCGTGCGTCCTCTTACATTTGCCGTACGCCGCTGGGCGACGGCAGTTGGTCTCACAAACCCACACCCTGGTCGATGGATAACCAATTTTCCATTGACCCTGATGGTGCTCTTCTTTTTGCAGCAGAAGAGAAAGACTGGATTTATTCTGCCTTCCCTCAGATTATTGGTTAGCAAGGCTGGTAAGTAGTAAAAAAAAATAGCAAGGCTGGTAAGTAGTAAAAAAAATAGTTGTGTTCTGGTTTAGGTTCAGAGGGCCACCATCAATTAATGGTTGTACAGCATTTTTAGAGGGTATTTGGGTTGCAATGAATTTGATGAATCGATTTTTAATGATCGAAGTGCCCAAACAACCAAGATAATCAAGAAAACAACTGTAGCTCATCGACTAACTATCATTATCATCATCATTACAGCTCCTCACAAGTCCACTGCTGAACATAGGCCTCCCCCAAGTAACGCCACAAAACACGGTCCTGAGCCACCTGCATCCATCGACTTTTTGCATATCTTACCAGGTCGTCACTCCATCTAGAGGAGTGCCGCTACACTTCGCCTGCCGGTACAAGGCTGCCACTCGAGAACCTTGCTTTCCCATCAGATGTCGGTTTTGCAAGCTATATCGTGGGCCCATTGCCACATTAGCTTACTATTCCTTTGGGCTATGTGGGACTGCTATACCTATAAAGAATTGACGAAATCTTTATCCTATATTCCTATGTTTCCTCTGGACCGGATTAATATTTTTTTTCATGAAAATATGAGAAGGATAGTTGTGGTTGTCTGTATATTTTCTGTATTATTTTCTTATGTTCGTTGAATTTGTTTGCTGGATGTGTATTAACGACGGTATGATTGGGCGGTTATAGTAATTTTAAGGTTCCTAGTTCCTAAAATAATAATTTATGGAAAAAACAAAACATAAGAACATAGCAGTGATAGATATAGACAATGTCGTAAAATAATATTTGCTCTAGTGTCATTATCTACTAAGAAAACATAGAATCTGTTTGTATGGATTAAGCACCGCCCGGATATGCAACGTAATATGTTATAGTAGTTGGATTTTAGTTTGTTTTTAACTGTAATATTATGAAAATATGCAAAATTTTTATCCAACTACCAAAGCGTCTTTGCTTCATTTAGATTTTATATCATTTCATGTATTTTAAAAAAGTCTGAATCAATTTCCCTATGGAATAATTTATGCTTCCAACGAGTGAGAAATTTTTAAGAATAAATATTGTAGCTTTTATCGTATTGATAGGAACTAAAATAATGAACTTTAAAAAACAGGTAAAGAAGACATTCGGATAGCTGAAGAAAACATAAATTGTACATTCCTCCGCGATCTAAACAAACTGCCTGAAGAAGCCTACGGTCAGTGCGACGAAGACTTAGAAACGTTACTCCTGCAGTTCTTTGAATTTTACGCGCAGTTCGACTTCCAAGAAAAAGCTATCTCCATCAACGAAGGAGTACCCGTGCGGAAGCCTAATGCACTGCCTCTGTACATAGTGAATCCTCTAGAGCAAGCGCTGAATGTTAGTAGAAATGTTAGCTATGAAGAATGTGAAAGGCTAAGGTTGGAAGTAAGAAACGCTGCGTGGCAGTTAGAAGCGGAACTAGAAGGCAAGAAACAGGATGATTGGGGTCTACTTGGCCTTATTGAGAAGAAGGGCTCGAGAGGACTGAAAAAACTCCTCAGAGTGGGTAACTCACATAGACTGGTGTCAGTGAAAGACTTATTTAAAGAGGACGATTTCACGAGTGACACAAGTACGGAATCGCATCAGACAAAGAGTGATACAGAAATAGAGAAGAGTGTGAAAGACATGAAACAGTCTATGGTTAATGTAGAGAAAAAGGAACAGAAAATAAAGTTCAAGAATAGTCAAATAGCTAGTGAAGTGTTCAGAATAAGAAGGAACAAAATTGTTTGACGCGCTGTGTAGCTGTGGAGGACAAGTATAGATGTAATGAGTGATTTTTCACCTGGATGATTTAGTAACATTGAGAAAAAATCTAGAGTTTGGCATAGTTTATCCCCCCTCACCTAGTTTATCCCTACGCCTGGTTGTTTTGTTTGTTTGTTATTATTTTATACACAATTACATACTGTAAAATTATTGGATTTGTAAAATATATCTACGTATACTATTTTAGACTGACACATGATACAATGTAATGTTTTGAATTTTATGCTGTAACACCCTTATGTTCGAAATCGTATGAACGTCATTATTAGACATCGGGTTATATGCACTAACGAAGTGCCAAAATACGCATGCAAGTTTGGAATAAAAGGCCGAAATATGCACTTAAAACTGTTGATATGTCCAAAATGTGCACTTTGCAAAATAAAAAATCTTCATTTTTATGTATTTTTCCAAATTTTCGAGCGCAAATTTGTGACGTTTGTCACCCAATATTGATATTGGGTTAATTTGTATTTGAAAAAAAAAAATGATTTTTATACTGAAAACGAACTTTCTACATCAACTGACGACCTTGAAGATAATTTAAAATTTGGCGTCATTTCTGATGATAGCTGTGTAGGCAGGGCACGACCTGTGCCGTTGATGTAGTTATTATATATATATATATATTATATATTTGGATTCAGGTTTTTACGCAAAATAACGTTCAACTTTGTGCGAATATTTTCTGATTTTGAATTAGAAAGGGTGTTGGCGGGTTCGATCATTGTTTCCAGTATTTCTATTGATTAAAATAGAGGAAGGTTTCTTGTTTCCAATTTTTGAAATGTGTTGAGATGAGGGCGATATTCTGTTTAATGGATGTGTCTTCAAATGCCAGCTTGCTTGACTTAATTGCAATGGCCTCAGTATTGTCAAATTGAAAAACTAGTTGTTTTACGGCCTCAAAAATTTCAGCATAGAATAACACCGCCTTTAGCAAAGTGCCTACCGACTTATTATAGGTTCTGGCGGCAATGTTACATTTGGAAATTGTTCTTTGTAAGAGAGCACACGTGACAGTGCTTTTTAAAAGCCTTTTTTGTAGAGGAAATCAATTTGTTAACATTCCCATACTCCGGCCTTATCTCTTCTGAAAGGCGATGAAACGCGTGAGCTAAGCAGGTAATGTGCAGTAAATTTGGATAAAAAGTTTGCAGGGCTTGGCCAGCATTTACCATGTATGGCGCAGCATTAGAAACAAGTATGCAGATTTCTTTCATACACAAAAGAATCGGGAAACAAAGATCTTGTGAAATCATTTATGAAACATGAAAATAGTTGAATGATTTGTTTTTTCTAGAATTTTACAGGCAACCAAGTGGGGAATAGAGGGCTCCTTTGTTAGTTTTCCAACAATAAAATCGCTATATATCGTCCACATGAATCCGTAGTTTTATCAGCTGATATCCAGAGTAAATTGTTCTCCAGATCTGCACGAATTTCAATTTTTCAAGTTCTTTATTGAAAAGACATCATGAAGACGGATTCGTAAAAGCAGAAAGTACTAATCTACCAAGGATAAATATACCTATTGATGGTGGCAAAATTCTTTGCATGCAATCCCGATTATTGTTCTACCGAGTTGAGGTATGTTAAAACATCAATGTAACTATTTCTCATATTTAAATAAGTCAATCCATAACTTCCCCGGCGTTCTTATGTTCGTGTTTTTGCATTCAGGCACAACACACCAATGATGATAACTCATTATTAAACATCCAAATTTCTTAGCAAAATCGGCAAAATCCTAGGACAGTGACATAACGATCTTATTAACATGGCGGATGGCGTTTTCGCGCGAAAACTTAAAACGATAAATTAAGTGATTTTTTGGCGCTATTCGGTTTAAAAATTATAGTGGTTCGTTATCGCTCTACGATAACATGAAATGAAAATGGGTGTAATACTCTATTATTTAACAAACTAACGATATCTCAGTAGGGTTAAAATGGACGATGTAAATTACGACGGAATTTTGGATGTCATATTGTTTATAGCTTTATTGGACGTGAAGTTAAAAGAGGATAAAAGTCTAGGCTCTGTTGTAGTTTCTTTGGCTGACATTATTAGGAATTTTCATTGGATGTTACTTCCTTACTCAAATAATACGGTGTCATATAGGTATCTTTTGTGAAATAATTGTAATAACGAAAATATCTTTTCGTATTTGTTCATTTTTGCAATAAAAAATGTACAATATTTTCCAGGTAGCACTTTTCTAAATTGTTAAACATTTTATATATATTTCCAAAGATTTACAAACATTGATAATGATTATTTATAAAACTAAATACTATATTGCACCTAACTGTGTAAATATAACTAATGTTATGTAAATATAACTAATGTTGTGTAAATATAAAATTTATTTACTATTGTTGTCCATGTGAAACTGCAGCATCATAGGTTACTGGTTTGACACATGTACTATACCATTCTTAGAACTAATGCATCCAGACGAAATCTCGTGAAATGATACCAGTAGATTTAAGGCAAGAATTTCCTATGTTAAAAGGTTTTAGCGTTCCCTTTCCCGCGGCATGTATATTTGTTCAGCACAAAATAAGCTTGCGACATTCGGTGGTCAAAAAGTTTATTTGAAACAGTTTTACTTATTATCAGGGAATAAAGTTGTTAATAAGGCTATAAATAATCTAATTATATAGTCTGTAATCTATGAATCTAATTCAATTACATGATTTTCATTTTGTCGAAATATTATATGGCTGTCACTTAAAAAAAAGGAGAATTCGAACGTCGAATTTTTTTCGGCTATAAATTTATATTTTTATCTCGATTAATATAAAGTATTTTAAAAATGCAATTTGATAAATAATACAATTGAGCATGAACTCCGCGTGTCAAAATCGTGTTTAAAGTGCGATATTATGTCTTAACTTGGCCTTAAATATAAAATAAATTAAAAATGACTGTGACAGCCCTAATTATATTATAAAACATTTGGCAACCTTGTAATAAATAACCATTTTTTTTACGTTTACTTTTACGTTGTACTAGCTGTATCCGACCACGCTTTGCTGTGACTCAGTCTGCTTAAAGGGAAAAGAAAGAATAGAAAATATAAGTTTCTTTTACGTCCAACAGGAGACGCTGTTCTAAAAATACTTTAAAATTTATTTCTTTTGAGAGATGAAGTCCAGTTGTCAACATATTCCTTTTTGCAGATTTTTAATCAAACAATGGTAATTTGTTGTTTAATTTCAGTACCTATTTATTACACAAATTCTGAAGTAAGCTATAAACGGGACAGAAGAATGGAGATGTATATTAAAATTAAAATTATGTAAATAAAAATCCTTTAGTTCAAAATGACTTAATTTGTTTTATTTTACAGTTCAATACTGTTCATACATTTATAAAATAGTTACTCTACAATTATATTACAAGTCAAGTTATACAAGCGTTTATTGCTTCGAAATAAGATTGTACTATATTCAATATTTATCTTAATTTATGTTGCTCAGCTGAAGACATACTTTAATATCAGTGCAAAATTATTATATATTTAAATTACAAGTGGTCACCTAGTGATCGAAATTCGACCGTAATGCATAAAATTTTTAGGTTTGTATGAATAAGCTATATTTCATTTTCAATTGCACATTAACATATAAAACAGAAATATCTAATATACAAAACATAAAATAAACGCTTTTCTATTTTATCACTTATAACCTTGACACTCACTTCACAGACTCGAAAAAGGAACACTTGAAATCGTACAAAATTCACAGCTAATGAGGGCTAATTAATATTCCGCTCACCAGATGTCGCTAATTGACAATGAGGTTAAGTTTTTTGTTACACAGCCGTTTAATTGAGAAGTTAGTTTGAAATGAAAGTTAAACAGTTTCTAGAGTACTATATTAATACACAAAGCACACCTCCGTGGTTTGCTCTTTACTTTTTTGCACATTTTTAACTTTTTAATTTTTAAAATTTTTTGAAAAGCTGTGGCGTGGTTTATCTACTTTTAATCTAATTAATATAAAACATAACTAATAGAAGGATAGATATTACGATAATCCCTTCTTTGAGCGACTGTTTGACATTAGCAGTATGAAAGACAATGAATGTTTTGTTTAATTTAATGCATTTGTAACACATATATAAATCTAGCTTTCTGCACTTCTTCATTTAACCTTTAACTATGAAAAATACCCCATTAATTCTAATGTTCTTTTAATTTAAATTCATTGCTTATAATGCAAATATAATTACAAATTTTTTTACATCAAATAGATATATAAATAATAATACATACAGAGCGAAAAAAGTACAGAATAGAAAAAGGAAATATGATTGGCTGAATATTGCCAAATAAAGACAGAATACTTAAATACCAGTGCAAAATAAATAACAATAACATATCGAACAACTTAAAATAAAATCTCCATTTTTCTAGTAATCTTGGAAGGTACAAGATTGAAAGTTATCTTCTCAACTCTCGTACGAACAAATCTACTTTAGGATTAATCACGTTGCTTTCCAAACCGTTTAAAACGTTTCTAAACGACTCCACGTTACTGCCGCATAGTTTGTCAAATGTTTGCTTGTACAATGGATCGTTCAACATTTCGAGAATCCGTTCACAAATGTTTGAACCTTTATATATTTGTTTAATGTGGTCCGCGCAGGCCACTGTCCATATTGTTTCTTCTAGGAAGACGTTGTACTTCTCGTTTTGATCGAAAACACGACACTGAAATAGGAAAATTAATTTGTATTCGAAAATTATATAACAATATATATTCGATAGTGTAGTGGGTAAACAAGTATAGATGTGGCATTGCGAGTCGCGGGTTCGGGTAGAGCCATGCTGTATATTACGTTTGTAGCACCAATAGGTCGGCTCGACTGGTGTAGGACCACGCTCTCTCAGAATACTATCGTGAAATAGCAGCTTAATGCTGCTGTGTTTTGTATAGTGAGTATAAAGAACTGGATAACCATTTTATTGGAAACGAAGCATTCTATCTTGGTCCTCAGGGGTGATAACTCGTTTGCATTGTGATTCTTAATCGAGAATAAATGTAGATGTGTATGGGCCACAGCATCCACTTGTCAGGTGAACTGTGTGCTCGTTTGCCACCCTTATTCTAAAAAAAAAAGTGTTGACCTTGCAGGCCATCCCTGGAACTTCCCGTTATGTTCGATCTCAAAACCCTCGACAAATATTTTTACGAACTAATAGTTAACTCATTACATCAAAAACGATCCGAGCAGAAATATCGAAGTTATTAAAAACACTGAAACTTTTTGACAGCCGTAGCTTTGGAACGGGTCAAACGATTTTGATGTAATTGGTTGCAATCACTATTCAACACGTTAACCAATTTTGAAGTGATTCACAGCAATTGACGTCGTTTTTCATAATGATTTATTATCATTACGCGAACATTACACATTGGATAAAAAACTTACGGATTTTATCGTGTTTAAATTAATTCCCAATGTTTCGGGTGCTTTCCATTGGTGCTTAAAAGCACCTGAAACGGTGGGAATTAAAATCAACTAAATTAAAAAATTAGTTTTATTCAATGCCGTTTTACATGTTAGAGCTGATTAGATTTTGGAATTGATCGTTACATATGTTTCGAAAGTTTTATTTTTCAGGTTTTTAAAAATATTCGGTACAAATCGGTTGGAACAGTACTGAAAATCTAAGTTTGTTGTGAAACCCTTTCGAACGTCACCAAGTACGTTCAAATTGGTTAAGCCGTTCAAAAGTGACGAAGTTTACATAAACACACACACACATACATACATAGTGACATCCTCGTGGGAATAGTCTGAATAGCCTATGACCTAAACGCCGATATCAGATAAAATTTCGATTTTCGAAAACTGAGGTGAAACCAATAACTTCCCGATTTTTTGAAAATCATTAATTTTCATAGCGGGAAGTTAAAATGAACAGCAGAATCATATTTAGTGTGCATCACATACCTCGTCATCGGACTGGTCCGACAGGCAGACCTGGCAACGGAAGTCCAGCAGTGCCAGCGCGGCCAGCAGCTGCGGCCCAGGGCTGGACCCACACACGTGGGCCAGCACCAGCTCGGCACACATGCTGCCCACGGCCGGGCCCAGCGTTGGACTTGTCACGTCCGTCACAACTCCGCCGCATCTCTGTCGCAGCGACTCCTCGTCGTCCTCCAGCAAGGAAACCAGCGTTGCCAATAGAGTTGCTTTCATCTCAACTGAATACATGTACAGGGTTATTTTGCAATATATGCAATATATAAAATATTACGCCCAAATGAGATGTTTCAAAATGTATGGAGCCTGGGCCAGGTCCTTGTACATTATACTCAAAAATAGGGAAACACATTTTAAACGGTTCTCAACTGTCCAATTATTTTATAATGGCCTTGATTGCTGGTAAAGCACAGGAAATTATACTTAAAACTGCAACACACAACAAAAACCCGTCATGGCGTTTAGCTGTCATTTTTATTGATTAGTGACGTTTGACATCTTTATTTCACGTATTTTTGACACTGTTGTGACAATGGACAGTTGTTTTTCTATGCTAATTGGTCGCTTTATGTTTTACTGTCATTGTCTATAAGTACAGAGTAACTAAATCGGTGAGATGCCATATTGAAAGTCGATAAAAATAATTGATAAACATCAATTGTTTACCACGACAGAATACATTTTGAATTATTTGTATTTTTCCTGAATTCTACAGATTTTTCTATATTTTTTGAGGTAGTGTACATAGACCTGGCCCATTTTGAAACATCTCGTAGAGAGAAGGTTCAGAATAATAATATAGGCGAATAGTGAAGAAGATTTAATTCAAAAATCTCGTATTCTTTCCTTTTTATCTTTTAAGTTCATAATACGTCGTAATGCATTATTTTAACCGATTGCCATTCATAAATATCTAACGGCTTCTATTTTACTACGCACGCACACATTCGTGAGGGCCGCTCGGTCGGCAAACACGTGAGTTGAATCGCACACAGAGGAGTGCGCGTGCGCGTAGTCGTTGCTCATAAACCACAGTCAATATGAAATAATTTCCAATGAAAGTAAAATGCAATAACGGTATGTCATTATTTATATTTTAAACTTAAATATAAAATTTGGATACTCTTTGAAAACTAATCATGTATCTTACGCATAAAATGACGTAAGCGATAACACTAAATGTATATAAAACAGATACTAGATAATTACCATTCTTGCAATTGGACTACAAATACCATCACTTTCAATCATGGACACCAGTAATCAACTTCAAGCAAAAAGGCCACAAATGCGTTGTCACCTGGGAGGACTAAGATGGAAGCCTCGCAGTCCGTATTTACACTGGTTTAACAAAACCTTCAGAGCGGAAGAAATAGGTAAGAAAGTAATATCTACCAAGATGGACTCCTAGGCAAAAAAGGTAAAAATCCTAGCACTAAATTTATGCATGTTATGCATTTTTTTATTCATTAAAAAAAATAGTATATAATGTGTGAAAACTGTATTGTTATGCCATGCTGCAGTTATATTATGGTTGCAGCACGAATGGGTCGGCTCGACCGGGGTAGGCCCACGCCCTCACAGAATACTAGAGTAAAACAGCAGCTAAATGCTGCTGTGTTTCGTACGGTGACTGTAGGGAACCGGAGACCCGTTTGACTTGAAAAGAGGCGTTCTATCTTAGTCCGCAGGGGTGACAAGGCATTTGCATTTTAATTCTTAATCGAGGTTGAATTGAGTTGAAGATTGATTGAATGTAGATGTCTATGGGCCACAGCATCCACTTACCATCAGGTGGACTGTGTGCTCGTTTATCGCCCTTATTCTATACGAAAATAGATTTTACTAAATATTACTTCCGTCCGATAAAATACCCGAGTTACCTTCAGGTTGCACTTAAAGAAGTTTTACAAAAAATATTTTTGGCATCAAACTTAGTTTTTAATTAACATAAACTTAAATCTAGCAAAAACTTTTTAACATCAAAAACAACTTACATTTTTCTTCTTCAGTTAAATCATGAAATTCCTTATTAATTAATATTTTAAAGTGCCTCTCCAAGAAACTCACAACCACACCTCTCGTGCTATCACTATTGTCAGATGAACTGCAAGCAAATATCACTCTTACTGCCTCAAGGATACATTTCTGATTTGCATCGCTTTCTCTAAGTTTTTTTATTAGGAAGCTCGTCAGGCTGTACAAGTAGATATGAGTGAATTTCTCGTGCTCATTTTCAACGAGATGAATCAATTCAGAGAAAATAACTTCGTCTGTGACTTCTCTATTGTTTAAATTTGCTTCAATTATATATTTTTGCGTGTCGTCTTCTAAAGATAGCACTTTGAGACATTTTTGTTTGCATTCCGAATATTTAGCAGATTTTAGCGCTTGGCTCAGTTCGCTCGTATATTTGGGATCCTTCTTCAATGTTTCTAGTATGTTTTGATTTCTTAATAAAGATAGATGCTCTTGGAATTTATCTTCAATGTCCAGTTCGTTATAAAGAATAAGGAGATAGTTTAGAGTGGCCAAAACAACTTCGTAGATTTTGTGTGGCAGTGTTGTATAGATAAGCTTCTGTATTTCGTCATTGTTGCCATATTTATTCAATATTATGAAGTATAAGCTTGTAGCGTTTGCTAAACAGATGTCTCGTCCAGGAACGATTGCTACATATTTATCTTGAGTCAGAAGTATGTTTAGATATTCAATTACGTTTTCTATTATATTCTGATCTATTAGTGATGAGAATCTGTAAATAAATTCGTTTAGTTTGTAAACTTACTTAAAGTATAAGGTTATCAAAAGTAAGTACGTATGGGTAATATGGTCATCCGGTTAATATAGTAAGTTTCTTATAACTTAAAAACAACAGCCTTGTTTGCATAGATGAGTCTGTAATACGATAGCTCTTCAATAGTCAATCAAATAATAAAGGGTCAAAAGGGCGCTACTTTATCGATGTCATTATAATAAATATTTCAGTCGATTTTAGTATTGTGTAGTGTCGTTAGTTTTTTTGAAGTGAAAACTTCTTTAGCGGCGTTGTACACTTTTTTTGTAATGGGTAAAAAATCTTAAACTCGCGTCAGGACACGTGACCTGATCGAAAATGCGTAAGACGGACGGCGTAGGAGAAGAAGTATCCCCCTCTCTTTCTACGGCGCGGCGAAAATGTATGCCTGCTGTTTCGTTTAAACGGCGCGGGGCGCTTGCGCGAATGTAATATAAACTGTCATGTTTGTGTACGATAGCGCAATAAATAAATATTGTATTCTACCACATAAATGATAGTACTTTTATACTGATAAAGCAATTCGTGCAAAATCATTCCATAACCATTCCAAAATATCAAAAATGCACAACGTTAATACTAAAGTTTTCACTTCTGCCGGCACTGCCGGAGTGCAACCCGTCGTTTTTTAGGTTGATTTTTAGAAGTGTTCCTAATTATTGCCACAGCTCGTTTGCAATTTTTTTATTATATTACAACTTTGTGTTTTTGTCTATGTCCTCCTCTTAGTTTTGGTTTAATAGGGCGACAAAGCTTAAGATGGACCACATTACCTTCACGTACCTTATTGAATAATCAAGGAGAAGTCTTATAAAACTTGTAGTGGCGGTGTAACAACATCCAGCAGCCCGCGAGTGTCGTGAGAGGCGACAGTGGGAAACCGAAACAAGAGATGGCAGCAGCATCTCCCTGATAACACGTTAAATAAAAAAACTGCAGTTGCCAACCCGCCGGCCACGCGTGGCAACTATGGTAAAATACCCCTATGAGGTAATAAGCCTAAGTTCAGCAATTTTTATAGGCTTCAATGGATGGATGAATAAAAAATATAAACATATAGTATACGTTATACGTGGTAGTCACGCTGCAGCTATATTATGATGGGTCGGCTCAACCGGGGAAGGATTACGCTCTCACAGAATACAAGCGTAAAATAGCAGTTCAATGCTGCTGTGTCATATGTTGAGTGTGGAGACCCGGAGACCCTTTTTACTGGAAACGAGGCATTCCATCTTAGTCCTCAGGGGTGACAATGCATCTACGTTTTGATTCTTAATCGAGGATAAATGTACATGTCTATCGGCCACAGCATCTGCTTACTATCAGGTGGACTGTGTGCTCGTTTATCGCCCTTATTCTATAAAAAAAACCTATGTTCAGCATTGGACTTTTATAGGTTTTAATGAACGGATGAATATAAAGTGTCAAGTAATAAAAAAATATCCTACATAAAAAATACTTTGTATATTACTAGCCGGGCATTACGGTACTAACACATTGCGCACTACTTTGTTACGCTCAATTCTCCGGAATTCTTTAGTCAACTCGACTGCAAGCGGCCGACAACACTAGTTCCTTGTTTCGTTAATCGCGAACATTGTTATTGACAATCTTTATTTTTATACAACAAGGGTGACAAACGAGCACACAGTCCACCTGATGGTAAGTGCTTGCTGCGGCCCATAGACATCTACCTCTATCCTCCATTAAAAATCAAAATGCAGATGCGTTGTCACCCGTGAGGACCAAAATGCAATGCCTCGTTTCAAGTAAAAAAGGATTTCCGGATTTCTACACTCACCATACGAAACACAACAGCATTAAGCTATTATTTCACGCTGGTATTCTGTGAGAGCGAGGTCCCTCCCCGGTCGAGCCGACCCATTCGTGATACAACTACAATCTAACTGCAGCATGGCTCTAAAACGTATCAATATCACGAAGGAAATCTAACACTGATTTTGTTTAATGTGACAGTAAGAAACTCTGTCATTAGTTATGTGAAATTTGTTTCAGATAAGTATGTAAAAATAATACCATATTATAATACATTACCTAAAAACAATAACTGGCGTGCTGTGGCAGCTCAGATGGTTAGCGCTCGCTGTAAATTTCACAGTACGCGAGCAAACCGGGTTCGATCCCGCCGGCACCAATGAAATTGTTAGTTACAATATTAAGTGCTGATTTACCACATGCTCGTCAGTGAAGGAACATATTGTAAGGAAACCTGTATGCCTGAGAAATAAGAAAAAAAAATATTACGAAGACATGCGAAGTTTGCCAACACGCATTGCAGTGCGCCGGACAATTCCTTGCCATAAAACTCTCAAAAACGAGGGGAGGCCTGCGCCCAGGTGTGGGACGTATATAGGCTGTAACTTTTAATTTTTAACTTTTAATAACTGTCGAAAATAAAGATACCACTGCATACTGACATGATTTTCGTTCTGAATTGCCAGGCTGGGAGTATAAATACAAGTCTTTATTTATTATAATTTATTTCAACATTCATTCCATTAGGTGAGCCATATACTCGTTTGCCTCCTCTTCCATAAAAAAAATAAGTCGCACATTTTACCTCCAGATCAGCAAATTGACCATCTTCCAGTACTCGTCCATGAGCAAGTAGCATGGTAGTTCGTCCACTGCCAGCTCCAGTATCCACTGCGTGGACTTTATATGACTTCGTAGCCGTTCGATGGCGTCTTCTTCCAGGGTCAGGTTGTCTGGCTTATTGTCCAGCAGTTTTATAACCTGGAATAAAACAGAACATAGTTTCTATATTTTTTTGGCCTTTAAAAATATGGTGCGCGAACAGTTTTTATTCATCTGGATAATAATTATTGACTTTTTAAAGTAAATTTTCTTTACGCACGCTTGACTTGGGGAGTAAGCTGGCGAAAGCGTGACTAAAGCGTTACGAAAAGTGTGATCAGGCAAGGCGAACGGGAGTTGACTGGTGGATATAAGCAAGAAAGAGCAGCGCTCGCGCAAGTTTTCTTATTCTCTCTCTCTCTCTCTCATAGCCAGTTAATTATAGTAATTTTATTTTGTTTTCAACAATTTTATGAATTAATATTTTGTTCAATACATTAAATAGTATATAAAATTGTAAATTCATTTTAATGTTCATGGTTTGTGAATTTTTGGGTGAATAATAACAAATTATCGAAGGAAGCCGATAATAAATTTAAATATTATCAGAAAATTAATATATGTATATACATGTATATATTATACGTATAGTATATATATATATATAGGAAGGTAGTTAAATAGAATTAATTTACAATCACAAAATACACGGATCACAGGTAATCTACTATAAATTGTACTAAGACTAATTTAATCGCCGATAATAATAACTAATTCGTTTCCACGAATTAATTATCCGAATAGTCTAGGATGAGCTAGTAGCGGGATACAACAAGTGAACCGTGCCACGCCAGAGCCATGACTGCCCTAACGGCTTTTTTTTTTTTTTGCGCCCGAAGCAATTAAAGGGCTACCCTATACGTAGGGAGGCGGAAAATGCATTACGCATACCACGATAGCCGGTCTATCGTGGTTATGAGGGGCTCACTGTCCTACCGGGGACCCTAAGTGATACCCTCTAAAAACCGCCTTTGGGGACAGGCAGCCGGCTGATCAAGCTGTATTGTGCCTTATCATGAGCGACCCTCTTTTGGGAAAAGAGGGCGCAGGCGGCTAAGAGCCGCTGAGGGAGTGCCTACGAAGGCAAATTAATGTTAGTTAATACAATAATTTAATTTAATTAGAGTTGGCCTGAGCCGCCAGGAGGCAGTTCAGGTCGTTTGACAGTTTATTAGGCGGGTCCGAGAGAGAGTTTCTCGGCCTGCGGACACGATAGCGAGAGGGGGGTGGGGCTGCATAAGAAGCTGCCTCACGAATTAATTGGTTTGGGTGCGACTCTGAGGCTTTGAAGAAGTTCTCAGAGAGTTTTTTAAGAAATTGTTGAATTGTTGGGAGCTCTAAGTCCCGATGAAGGTCGGCATTACGGACGTACCAAGGTGCGTTCGCATCTCGACGACAGAAGAGGTTCTGAACTATTTGGAGTTCATTTATAATATTAGGGTTTGCGTGGGCAAAGACGGGGCCCGCGTAGGACATGACTGGTCGTATACAGACCTTGTAAAGGGTACGCTTGTTTCGAAGGGACATTTTACTGTGTCGGCCCAACATACTGTTGAGCCTACTCAGATAAAACCGTGCGTGACGGGTTACTCTTTTGACGTGGGGCCTGAAAGTGAGCCCTGTGTCTAGAGTGACACCTAAATATTTGGCGGACGTATGCCAGGGGACAGGGGTCCCTAGCATACGTATTGGTGGAGTGATTTTGGACGGCGTCGTTTATAATCGAAGTGAACGGCGGAGCTCTTCTCCGGGTTCACATCGATGCGCCATTTTTTGAACCAAGCTCCTAGGTCATCAACTGACTTTTGGAACTTGTTCCGTATGAAGGGTAGTGAGACACCTTTGCAGTAGATGGCAGTGTCGTCTGCGAAGAGGGAGAGTTGAACACCTTTCGACGGGATGGGAATGTCGTTGGTGAACAGGATGTACAGCAGAGGAGCAAGTACTGAGCCCTGAGGGACACCAGCCTTGATAGTTCGCTGTGAAGATAGCGTACCTTCGTGTCTAAAACGAAAGGTACGATGTTTTAAATAGGAGGCCACGAGACGAACTAGACGATCGGGGAGACCTATTTTGTAGAGCTTGTAGATGAGGCCTGTGTGCCAGACTCTATCGAAAGCTTTAGCTATATCGAAAAAGACCGCGATGGTCTTATAACGACGAGGATAAAAACCGCTGAGGATATATTCCACAATGCGGTGAACTTGTTGGGGACATGAGTGTTTGGCTCGGAAACCGAATTGATGGGGAATGATAAGAGGGTCGCCGTCTGTGGGAAACAGATAGCGCCTCATACGCGTTTGGATGACTCTTTCGAAGAGCTTGCCCATTGCCTTGAGGAGGCTAATGGGGCGATGACTGGAGGGGAGGTTGAGAGGCTTGCCTGGCTTGGGAATTCCAATCACAGTTGCCTCTTTCCACGTAGTGGGGAAATAACTAAGGTTGAAGCAGGCGTTGAAGATAATAGATAAAAAGGTTAACACCTGCTCAGGAAAGTGTTTTAGGGCTTGGTTGGAGATGCCATCCGCGCCCGGAGTCTTTTTGGGCTTAAGTCCTTTGATGAGGGATGAAATCTCATCATTGGACACAGAGATAGGTTCGGAGGCCGTAGGGGGTGAGTTCCGGCGGCGGACCTCATCCTCCACTGCCTGGACGTGAGAGGGGTCGACGGGTTGAGAACTAGGAGAGCATTGAGCGGCAATGCTATCAGCAAAGCACTCAGCCTTTTCCTCGTCCTCGAAGGCAACCGTGCCGTCTGGACGGGAGAGAGGGGGAGTGTGGGTGATAGCGTCTATGCGGAGGGCTCTAGCCATCTGATAGTATGCTGTGTGAGATGGAGAGATATGCTCCATGAGCTTACTCTTTTCGAGGTCTCGAAATTCAGAGAGGCGGAAGCGGAGTTCTCGTTGAAGACGATTGGCCGCGCGCCTATATTCGGGGGTGGGATATTTTGCTGCTCTCCGGAAAGCAGCTTTTTTGGCTTTTAATAGGTTGCTAATATGTAGGGGAAGCCCACTATTGTTAGCGACCGGGACGACCCTTTCGTTCTCCTTAAGGGAGGATTTAATAAGGGTGGAGAGTAAATCGACCGCGGTGTCGATTTTTTCGGGACTATCAAGTCCGACGGTAGGGAGATGGTAGAGTCCTGTGAGTCCAGAGCTTTAGCTAGGGACTCCTTGAATCCCTTCCAGTTTGTGAAGGTTTTCGTGTGTGTAGGGGGAGGTGGCTGATGGCCAAGAATGAGGGAGACCGGTCGGTGATCTGATCCTAGATCGTCTAGTGTCTCGATTGCTCTGAGGTTGAGAGAAACTCCTTAGAGTAACGCAAAATCTAACACATCGGGGGGCGTGATCGGTGTTATCGGGAAAGTGAGTAACACCGAGAGGACTATGGACGGTAATATCAAGAGACTGCGTGATATCGAGCAGTATCTTGCCACTAGGGGACGTAGTGCGGCATGTCCATTCAGTATGCTTGGAGTTAAAATCTCCAAATATAATGACTGAATTGCCTAAAGATAAAATGGCCTCAAAATCTTTTTTGAGGGGATAGGTTCCTGAAGGGATGTAACAGGAGGCTATGAGGATGGACTGATGTCCAGTCATAGCTAGCCTGCATACCGTGGCTTCCATGTTGGTAAGCTGCGGAGTAGAAATGGGCGAGCAATGAAGTGTCTTCTTGTAATAGATGGCCGTTCCGCCGCCTCGGCGGTCGGGTCTGTCGTTACGAAGAAGAGAGAAGTTTTTAATAGAAAGGCCTCTAGTGTCCTTAGCTTTGAGATTAGTTTCCTGTAGGAGGAGGAAATCGACTTCACGATTCCGAAGAAAGAGCTTAAGCTCTGGGAGGTTATTTCGCAAGCCGCGAATATTAAATGATACAAGCGATAAACCCTTAGGTTTGATACGACCGTGGGATTTTGGTAGAGTAATTTGCACTGGCATTGAAGTTAAGTTAATTAAGTTAACTTACAACGCTAACAAAAGATTGTTATGTTCTGCAAGAACGAGGAGATGTTCTTGGGGGGACTTCGCCGCGCGCAGTTTGCGTGCTACAACGGTGATTTCCCTAACGTCAATATTCCTAATAGCGGAATATAGTGTGTTGTAGTCGTCGGGTGTGGGCTCCGCTTCATGGGAGTAGGAGCTTATCCGCGGTGGGTCTGCCTTTTTGAGCCCCCAGGGAAAGACTGGAGGCTGCATAGGCTTAGAGAAGCCCGGAGGGGGGCCGAATTATGCCCTGAGGGGGCCTAGGGGGACCCTGAGAGGGTCGAGAGAAGCCCTGGATGGGCTGAGAAAGGCCCTGACGGGGCCGTTGTTGGAGGGCCGGGAATGAGCGGTCATTTACCGGCGGTGGAGCTTGCCTACTGGGGCGAGGTTGAGGTGCGCGTGGGCAACCTCTGTAGTTAGCCGGATGTCCTGTCTGTTTGCACAGGACACAAGCCGGCGGGGATTCGGCGTCTTTGGGCCGGGGACACTCTTTCGTGTTATGGGGTTCGAGGCACTTTACGCACCTGGGTGGGGCGGAGCAGTTGGCCGCCGCGTGACCATAAAGTTGGCAGCGGTGGCACTGCGCCGGGAAACCGCGCCTATGTGGGGGCTCGACCTTCACCCTCGACAGGCCGCACACTGTGCGTACCTGCCGGAAGATGGCTGTAGCCTCCGGCACGTTGGAAAGGATGATTAGGGCCAAGTTGAATCTTTTGCCCGTTCTATTGTGCATTTTGTGCACGGCTTCGACGGGAAAGCCTTGGGACTTAAGGTCCTCGAGGATTTCCTCGTTAGAGAACTCGAAAGGGACGCCTCGGATGACGGCCCTGACTTTACGCTCTTCCGGGAGAGCGTAAGTGTGGTAGGAGACTCGTTCGGCTGTGAAAAGCCTGGTGAGTTTTCGGAAATCCTCGATCGAGCTGGGGATGATTTTGATAGCCTCCCCGAGGTTGACGGCATTGTCGTACTTAATTCCTGCGTCGTAGCAGGTTTTCGACAGTTTGGTGAATTTGGCCTTGTCTCTTAGGAAGACAGGGGGGCGGGACTTGCTTCTTAGCAAGGACTGGAGCACATCGAGAGGATGGTTTAGTTGGGGTTGGGATGTCAAGGGAC